AACCGCCCTTAAGGATGCTGGTGGATTCCAACAGTCAACCTTCTGGTTAGCAGCCAATCTCTTAACCACTGCACCACCAGGGCTCCAAAGAGTAAGAGAAGCGAGGGAAAAGGAACTAGGTCTTTGAATGGCACAGGAGTATGCACTGCAGCAGCTAGTGTCATAACTCATAGCGGAAGCAGATAAATTCATAAAGCAAGCAGAGAACTCTTTGTAGGTATTAACTTGCAACAGTTAAACTGCAGACAGCCTACCAGAAAATTTTAATGAGGAAGTTCTGTATTTTAGAAATAACTGGGTTGACAACCCATTTATTAGAGATTTGTGCCACAATGGTGAACCTGTGAAAAAAAGATTTAAAAGCTTATTGAGTGACACTTCATTAAATCCAATGTTCACAGATTGCTTGCAGGCACTTTTTTCATCCTGAACTAGTAAACAAGGTTCTGGCATCATCAATACTATTTTTATACCAATACTTATACAAAAAGCAGTCTCTGTATCAGGCCTTTTAATCTAGAGTCCTTAGTTTCTTAGGATCTATATCCTAATATAAAGTGAAAAACAGACCAAAAAAATATTTCTTAATTACTACAGGGAGAATAAGCCCTTGTTACTCAAGTTAGTATAGTATGATGGCACCAGGAGACAGCGTATCGGAATATTATGAGACAGGAAACCTGAGTTTTAGTCCTATCTGCTTGTAGAAATAAGTAAACTTGCACAATTAACCACTAGGCCTCTCATGAACTCTCAATTGAGAATTTATTAGTGTACCTGTAAAGTATAGATGTCAAAGGAAGCACGTGGACTACTTTTAAGATAGATTAGTCCTTTTAGAGAACATTCAAAGAAAGGTGACAGTAAATACTATTTGTGAATATTTTCCAAACAGAAAAAAATTTATTGAGTCAGTTGAGAATTAAAGGTAAACTTTAGTTATTTTACTTTCGACTTCTTCTGTATACAAATAACTCTAAAATGTATTGTTGCTTGTTGTTGTTTGGGACTGTCCAGTCGATTTCTGACTCACAGTGACCCCATGTGACAGAGCAGAACTGCCTCATAGGTTTTATTCTGTTGTTCTCATTTTATAATACACTTTTTTCCCCTAAATTTTATTTATTTTATTGTTGTTGAGAATATACACAGCAAAACATATACCAATTCAACAGCTTCTACATACACAATTAGATTATGTTCGAGTTGTATAACCATTCTCACCCTCCTTTTCTAAGTTGTTCCTCCTTCGTTAACATAAACTCACTGGCCACTAAGGTTTCTATCAATCTTTCCAGTTGCTGTTGTCAGTTGGATCTCAGATAAAACCAAAAACCTGTTGCAGTCAACTTACTTCCTACTCACAGCAACCCTACAGGACAGAGTAGAACTGCCCCCATAGGGCTTCCAAGGAGCGGCTGGTGGGTTTGAAATGCCGACCTTTTGGTTAGCAGCGGAGCTCTTAACCACTGCGCCACCAAGGCTCTGGATCTCACATAGATGGTTCTTAAAAGAGCAGAACGCTCAAGGCAGGCCTTTTTTACTAGTTAAACTGAACTACTGTTTGGTTTTAAGATGACTTCAGGGGATATTTTTGGTTTAAGGTTTAAAGACTACTTAGAGCAATAATTTCAGGGGTTCATCCACCCTCCATGGCTCTAGAAAGTGAGAATCTATGAGAATTGAAATTCAGTCCTGCATTTCCCCCCTTTTGATCAGGATTCTTCTATGGAATCTTAGATCGAAATTTCAGTAACAGTAGCCGGGCATCATCCAGTTCTTGGTCTCATAGCAAAGAAGGCAGTTGTTCATGGAAGCAATTAGCCACACATTCCATATCCTCTTCCTATTCCTGACTCCTCTTCTTCCTCTGTTGCTCCAGGTGAACAGAGACCAACTGTTGTGCCTTGGACAGCAGCTTACAAGCTTTTAAGACCCCAGGCAGTATACAAAGAAGTAGGAGGTAGAACAGACGCAGTAAACAAATTATCAGGCCAATTAACTGGTATGTCCCATGAAACCATGACCCTAAACCTCCAAACCAAGGAACCAAATCCCATGAGGTGTTTGGTTGTACATAAGCAGCCTCAGCAGCTACTCTTTTTTCTTTTTTTTGTCATTGTAAATATATCACACAACTTTCGCCAATTCAACTTTTCACAGGTGTACAACTTACTGACAGCAATTACAGTAATCAGCTGTGCAACCCTACCCTTAGTCAGTGTGATTTTTCCATCACTGTTAACTTCCCTTACCCTGCTCGCTCTCACCCCTGGTAACCATTAATAGACTTTAGTCTCTATACATTTGCTTTTTTATATAAGTGAGGTCATACAATATTTGTCCTTTTGTGATTGGCTTATTTCACTCAGCATAATGTCTTCAAGCTCCATCCAGACTGTAGCATGTATCAAGACTTCATTTCTCCTACTGGCTGAGTAGTATTCTATTGTATGTAAGTACTACATTTTGTTTACCCGTTCATCTGTTGATCAGCATTTAGGTTGTTTCCACCTTTTGGATATTGTGAATACTGCTGCAATGAATATTGATATAAAAGACTCTTTTTGAGTCTCTGCTTTCAAGTCTTTTGGGTATATACCTAGGCGTGGAATTGCTGGGTCACATGGTACTTCTATTTTTAGTTTTTTTTGAGGAACTGCCACACTGTCTTCCATAACAGCTGGACCACGTTGCATTCCTACCAGCAATGGATAAGCGTTCCAATTTTCCCACATCCTCACCAACATTTGTTTTTTTTTTTTTTTTCCTTCATCTTAGCCAACCTACTGGGAATGAAGAGGTATCTCACTGTGGTTTTGATTTGCATCTCTCTGATGGCTAATGACACTGAGCTTCTTTTCATATGTTTGGTGACCATCTGAATATCCTCTTTGGTGAAATGTCTATTCAAGTCCTTTGCCCAATTTATGATTAGGTTGTTTGTCTTTCTGTTAAGTTGTCCAAGTTTTATATACAGATTATTAGATTCTTATTGGATGTATGATTTCTGAAGATATTGTCCTGGTTGGGAGCTTGTCTTTTCAGTTTTTGGCCAAGTATTTTGATGAACGAAGTTTTTTTTTTAATTTTTATGAGGTTCCATTTATTTATTTTGTCTTTTGCTGTTTGTGCTGTTGTTATTATATTAGATAATCTATTGTTGGCTAGGCCTGGTAACGTTGCCCCTACTTCTTCTTCTAAGAATTTTATAGTTTTAATTTGTACGTTTAGGTCCTTAATCCATTTGGAATTTGTTTTTGTGTATGGTGTGAGGCATGGATCCTGTTTCGTTTTTCTGCATGTGGAAATTCAGTTTTCTCAGCACCATTTATTGAAGAGACTCTTCTTTCTCCATCAAATGGACTTAGCACTCTTGTCAAAAATCAGTTGATCGTGGATGTGTGGGTTTATTTCTAGACTCTGAATTCTATTCCATTTGTCTATGTGTCTATTGGAAACCCTGGTGGCGTAGTGGTTAAGTGCTACAGCTGCTAACCAAAAGGTCAGCAGTTTGAATCCACAAGGTGCTCCTTAGAAACCCTATGGGGCAGTTCTACTATGTCCTATAGGGTCACTATGAGTCGGAATTGACTCGACGGCAATAGGTTTGTTTTTTTGTGGGGGTTACATGTCTATTGTTATACTAGTACCAGGCTGTTCTGGTTACTGTAGATGTATAGTATGTTTTAAAATCAGGAAGTGTGAAGAACTTTGTTCTTCTCTTTCAATACTGTTTTAGCTATTTGGGGCCTCTTGTCATTCCATATAAAGTTGAGGATTGGTTTTTCTATTTCTGTAAAGAAGGCTGTTGGAGTTTTGATCAGGATTACATTGAATCCACAGATCATTTTTGTGCAGTATTGACATCTTAACAATATTAAGTCTTCCAATCCGTGCCCATAGGATTTTTTTGGCTATCATCTTCATGGAAGCACATTGCCAGGTCCTTCTCCCGGGAAGCCACTGGGTGGGTTTGAATTGCCAATCTTTCACCTAAGCAGCCAAATGCTTAACCGCTGCACCACCAAGACTCCTTTATTGTTGCTTACCTGGCATGATACAAACTTTGCCCCATTAAGTAGAATTGTCAACCAACCTGTAGAGTTTACAGAGCCTAACAGAGCCTTGGTAGATTCCTCAAATAGCATAGAGATCAGCAAGGAATAGCTTAGGGTCACAATGATGCAGATACAAAACTAAACGGAAGAATGGCAAATCACTGACTAAAAGAATCATGGAAAAAATTAAGTCTGCAAATAGATCTTGGAAAGTGCCCCAACAATCAAAATGCTAATACATTTTATCTACGGATTATAAATTAGTGGACTTTTAAAAATCTCCCAGCTCCCTCATGGGGATACCACCTCTTTCAGAGGGTTACTGGGAAGATTAAAGATAAATCACTCAAAAACAATTTCTAAGCCATGAAGCACCATACAAATGTTAGTTAATATAGCAGCATTATTTATAATAGTCCAAAAATGTAAACAGCCCAAATGTTCATCAACACGATTCAATAAACAAATTGTGATAACTCTACTATTCAGCAATAAAAATCACTACTGATATACACAACATGGATGAATACACTGAGTTAAAGAAGCCACACCAAAAGAAGAATATATACTCTATGATGTCATTTACATAAAATTCTAGAAAATGCAAACTAATCTATAGTGACAGAAAACAGATTGCCTGGGAAAGCAGGGCATGGGAGGTGGACAGTTAGAAAGGAAGGATTACCAGGGGGCACCAGAAAACTTTTGGGGGTGAAAGATATGTTCATTTTCTTGATGGTGATGATGGTTTCATGGGTATATGCATGTGTCAAATTACAGACTTTAAATATGTGCAGTTTATTGAATATCAATTACACCTCAATAAAGTTGTTTTTTAAAAAGTTTGTGATAATGTATAGATTTGAATAGGTATTAGATTTGTCTGCTCTCTCTATAAAACATATAAATGATATTTTTCTTAAAAAATAAAGAACTTACTTTGCATTTCCAGCCATTGGTTGGTACGGATTTCATAACTGGTTGAAGACAAAAAGTATGATACCCTTTGTCACACGTATCACACACTAGCATCTTGCTATCTTCTCCCGATTGTCTAAAAAATAAGATAGCATTAATGATGCCTTATCTTTAAACTTATGTTTTATAACATAAGTAACCATGAAAGGAATCAATCCTGGGAACTGCACAGTTCATAAACACCTCAGTGTATATTTTGTCTCTGTACAGATAAGGATAGACGTAACCCCCCCCCCCGAGGATGAGGCAGGTATCTTCCTAAGGTCCCTAAAGGAGTATGCTTAAAGTGCACCTATGGTTAACTTGCTTTAGTCACTTTAGGATTCCTGCAAAGGAGGCGGGCTTAAGGCAAGATGTACAACCTCTGATCATTCCTCTTTAAGACATCTGATACCCATCCTTTCTTGAGGAAGGAGCTATAACTGCTAAGTGATGCTGCATGAAAGGAACAAATCTTGGTATTGTGGATTGAAAAGACATTGTAATATGATGGAAAGAAGATCAGATTGGGTACGAGGCCTGTGTTTGCATTCAGCCTGCTGTTTCCTAGCTGTGTAACTCTGGGCAACTTAGAATTAAATATAATGCTGGTTCAAGAGCTTATATTATCCATTAAATAATAAGTTCTAAATAAATATTTATTAAGAATAATAATCTTGTCATTATTATGAATTGTAGTAAAAAACCTAAAACCTTTTCCTAAATACTCATCTGCCCCAAAGACTGCATCCCTGCCCTACAACATGATCTCTGCCTTATTCTTGGCTATTGATCATAATCACTTCCAGATACTAAGAATTTAATTCAAGAGAAGGGAAAAAGAAAAAAACTGGGAACGTAAGAAGATGAGTTGAGAGAGAAGCTTCTGCATAAAACTTAGGGATAATCAGAAGTAAAAAGGAAGATGGGTTACTAGGCGACTAGTTATTTCTAATTCAGTTCAACAAATTCTACATATAAAACTGACTATTTTATCTCTTCAGCTACACAAAGATCTTAGAGAACAAATACTCTTTCTTCAATTTTCTTCTTCTCAAGAAACTGAGCACAGATACAATGTATAAAATAGTTTAATTTTTACTAATATAGGAATGCAGCATATAGTCCTATGTTATTTCCTATAACTCCAAGATATTGATGCTTATTATTATCAAATTCAATAAGTAATAAAAGACTGATCATAGCAGTGCTGTGTATAATTTTCTTGGTTATAAAAACTCTCAGCTTGTAAACAATTTGAAGACTGCTAAAGATGCTAGTAATATCCCCAAATTATCATGCTACTTAGAAGCATGAGGAAAAAAAAAAATAGAGAGATTGGAGAAATGACCAAGGGATGAAATACAACAAATACGAAAAGATATTCCCATTAAAAACATCTAGATGCTACGTAATAGTTTGTTTTAGAATTATGGTGACTAGGCTCTATCCAAGTAACTGTCTTTCAGATAAGTTTGTGTGTGTGTTTAAACAATAGTTGCAATATAAATTGTTCTTCCTGGAATGGAAATTCAGATATATCACTGACTCTTTGGCTCAACTCTAATAACTAATCTCTATAGTTAGAAGTTTGTTTCCTATTAAATCTTCTCTCCAGTTCCCCTCAAAAAAAGTTGCCTTATTTTTCACATGCTTATTTATTTTAAATTGTTAATATCATTCATTTAAAAGTTTTTTTTTTTGCCAAATTTAAATTAGCTTTTTAGACAACCAGAGGAATTTAAATTACTAAAATTAGTTTTGTTTAGGCTTGTTTCAAAATGATATAAATGTTAGTAAGTATTCTAGCAATTTTTTTTTAACTTAAGACATTATAAAGTCAGTTTGAATGAATATAGCTGCAATATTAACAACCTTTATCATATTACATACACCTTGAGCACCTCTCTTAGACTCAATATAGACTTTTGAGCTGAAATTAAAACTTACTTGCAGTTCTGGCACACTTTGCACTCAGGACATTGCCAACCTGCACGCTTTAATGGAGTAACCGCTATATCCAGGCACATTCCATGATAGTGCTGACCACAAGTGGTACAAAAGAACTGATCTAAGAGGTCTCCCGGGCTGTCGCACACTGCGCAGTTTGCATCTTCCTTTGCTACAATTTAACAGTAAAACAATGAATTTGTTGTATAAAAATTTAATATTTTTCTGACTTTACAGTTTAAAAATCACTAGAAGGGAATTTGCATGGTAAATCTTTCAGACACTTGAAATTATCCACACTGAACTGACATCCAATCAGAATAAAGATTTCAATAAAAACAATGTAGTGTGTTTAATCTAAATTTAATCACATGAAATTCATACAGTTTTGAGATTATTTTTGCCAACATCTACTTGAGACAATAAACAGTTGTTATTTTATTTTGTATCTCTAATATCAATGATAATACAGGGCACCTAGTCAATGCTCAGTGTATGCTTGCTGAAAAGAACGTAAGAAGGAAAATATCAACTGACAGACGCTTTGCAGTATGAAAGTGAACATTTTATCTGGAATTAAATATACCTTGAAATTAACAAAATGAGATAAGGGACAAAGTTTAATGTTAATAGCATTTAGATTAAGATACTTTTTAAGTACCAACAAAATACACAGACTCTTAAATTTTACTCAAATCAAATAAGGGTTTTTTTAATACTAGAAAATGTCTTATGAGGGAGAACACTATAGATGAAAGCTGCAAAAAACAAACCAAAAAAACCGTTGCCATCGAGTCCATTCCAACTCACAGCAACCTTATAGGACAGAGTAGACCTGCCCCATAAGGTTTCCAAGGAACAGCTGGAGGATTTGAACTGCCGACCCTTTGGTTAGCAGCCTTAACGCTTAACCACTATGCCACCAGGGCTCTGGAAGCTATATAATCAAATACAAATATAAGATATCATATACTAATTGTATATTCATCTATATCAATTGTTAGTTGCATTAAAATCCATATCATTATGGATACCATCTATCCCTAAATGTGGTGGACTAAAAGAAATGGCACTTTTTAGCAACAGTTCTTTTACCATGTAAAACAGAAAACAAATGTGCCTTGCCAAGTACACAGTAAAACTCATGCATATTACAATATAAGAAGGAAATAATGTATTCTAAAATCCTAAAAATTTTAGCTGATGTATATAAATATGCCTAAATCTGACACATATAGTCTCAATGAAAGTGTTTGATTAGCTGCTTATCCTAGGACTATTTTAAATTATAAATATGAATTTTTTTTTCTCCGTTTTGTTTTTTGAAGGTTTGGTCAGTCCTATCTATTCCTCTCTAGCTACAAGTCCTTGCTATCTTCTTTCTTTCCCAGTCAAGCATCTTGAAACAGAGTAATAATCTATTCCTTTCATTTACACCAGGAGTCAATAAATGTGTTCTGTAAAAAGCCAGACAGTAAATATTTTAGGCTTTGTGGGCCATAGGGTTCTCTGTCATATATTCTTTTATGCTTTACAGCATTTTTTAAATGTAAAAAACATTCTTAGCTTGGAGGCCATACACAAACAGGCCATGGGATGTACTGGGACTGCAAGCTGTAGTTTGTGGACCCTTGATTTACACTTCAGAAGCTGGCCTCTGTACTTACCATTCATCAAATGTGCGGCTATCAGTGACCATATAGTTGCTAAATCCAATGGTATTTATTAAGTCTTGCCTTATTTGCACTTTGCAGCATTTATATTACTAACCACTCCTCCATTAAGACTTCCCTTTCCTTGGCTTCTATGGCAAAAGGCTATACAAGGCAACTCTCTCCTGATTTCCCCTTAGGTTTCTGACACCTCCATCTCATCCTCCTCTGGTGGTTTTTGTACCTCTACAATCCCTCTAAATGCTGAAAGTCTCTTAGGATTTCATCCTGTTCCTTCTTTATTAATTCTACTTTTGTGATCACATCAACTCCCACGTCATAAAATATCACCACGATTCACAATTCTGTACCACCAGCCCCAGACTACTTTCCTAAACCCCAAACCTTTATTTTCTAGTCTTACTGGATGTCAACAGACAAAAGTTATAAAGATACTCAAACTTGGTGCCTCTAAAATGAAACTTAGCTAGCACTTCTCCCTTTTTTCTCAACTGCCTGGGTAAGGGCAGAAGTCTTACTATCATCATTGACTCTTAACTCCTCCCTGACCAACACATCCAACTGAACACAAATTCTTACTAAACTTTCTATACATTGTACTTCTTCCTTCCATTGGTACAATTCAGTCTATCCTATTTTACCCTGATCTGACTGCAGTATCTATTTAATGGAATTCCTACTTACAGTTCTGACCTCCTCTAAATCATCTTCCATGCATCCAAAGCAAGCTCTCAAATATGTAAATCTAATTGTTAATCACTGCTTAAATTAAAATCCATCAATAGTTCCCTTTCACCCAAAAGGAAAAAAATCAAAATGTTCTAGTATGAAGCAAAAAAAAGGCCCTTACCTCCTGTTATGAGATCAAATTATGCCCCCCAAAAATATGTGTTGTAAATCCTAAACCCCTGTACCTGTGGATGTAATCCTATTTGGGAACAAGATTTTCTTTGTTATTTTAATGATGCCATATCAGTGTAGGGTATGTTTTAAGGCAATCACCTTTGAGATACAAAAACTACAGAACAGGCACAGAAAAGCAAGCACAAATGGAGGGGAAGATACATGCCACATGAAGACCGCCAAGGAACCGAGGAACAGAAATGGAGAAGAAACTAGGAACTTCCCCCAGAGCAGACAGAGAAAGCCTTCCCCTAGAGCTGGCACCCTGAATTAGGAATTGTAGCCTCCCAGACTATGAGAAAATAAATTTCTGTTCATTAAATTCACCCACTTGTAATACTTGTTATAGCAGCACTAAGAAACTAAGACACTCCCCTTTCCAATTAAATCATAGAACCACTGTTTCCTAATCCTATCAGGTAGTCTGCATGCCCATAGCACAACATGCTGTTCATTCAGTGCCTGAGCGCTCTTATGTACTTGATCCCTTCTGTCTGAAATTCTGTCCCTTCTGTGTGTTCCCAGCCCATTCTAAACAGGCCTTCAAAATTCTGCTCAAACATATTCCCTGGCACCTAATGCTACCACACCTAAATACCCACTTAATTGTGGAATATTCCTTTTCCCTATATGCTTAGAAGATACTCTGTTATATAATCGATTACAACAAAATTCTGTGAAATATTTAAGGACAGGGAGCTTGTCTTTTTCAACTTTGTAAGTATTCCAGCTGTATAGAATAAATCAAGTCTTATTAAATATACTTAAAATGAAGGATTTGTTTCCAAATCACTTTTAAATGGGTCTTTAAGTGATAAGCATTCTGACAAATCATTTATTTAAAAATGTGTTATAAATTAGTTCATCTTTGATGGAAATAACATATTGGGGTGAATTATTTGTCTGAATACTAATAGAGAGAATGCCAGTATTTATCCTTTCAAGCTATGTACATTGAAAAACTAATCTTTGATTTTTCCTACCTTCAAAACTTATAGAAACTGTGGCAAATATTCAACTCTGATTATCAGATACTCGGTCCATCTTTCTATTGTAATTTGCCAAGCATACTACCTAAAATCCTTCTGTGAAACTTCCCAGAGTTTGCAACTCTGACACTTCAACTTGCCATGACACCCACATGTGGCTACTTATATGTGACTATTGAGCACATGAAGTGTATTTAGTCTGACCTGAGATGTGCTGTGCACATAAAATACACATGGGATTATAAAGATTTAGTTCAAAAAAAGTTAAATATCTCAATAATTTTTATATTTATTACATATTGAAATATGCATATTTGGGGTATATTGGGTTGAATAAAATATAATATTAAAATTAATTTCAAATGCTTTTTTTTAACTTTACTAGAAAAATTAAAATTACTTATATGGCTTACATTATATTTCTATTGCACAACACTGTCCTATACAGTAAAGCCCACTCTGCAACAACTTATGTATATCACTGTGGCAGAGATCATTTTTTATTCTATGACAGTTTCCAATAATTCCTTAATGACAATACTGTCATGCTGTCTGACAAGTATGTATCACTGGTTATTAATTAGCCTTAAAAAAATCCATGAGATACAGTTTAATCCAAAAACATTTACTATGCATAGGGTCACTAAGAGTCAGAATCGATTCCACGGCACACAACAACATGTAAAAAACAATAATAGAAAAAAAATACTATACAAAGAAATGAGAGATTGATTGCGGTCTTCTCTCCCATTGGGGACAAGATATATATGGAAATACTAACGCAGCCTTTTGGAGATTATGTATGAGAAGATGATATTACTGAATAGCTTTGGTATCATGTGAGAAGTATATGTATATATATACATAAGCCACAGACACATTAAGTTTGAACCAATAATCAAACAACTAAGTGCTAATTTTCTTCAGCAGTTAGAAAAGCACAAGAGACTAAGTGAAAGGCTAAAGCTAAAGATAAAAATTTAAGAGAGGACAAGAGTTAAATCTGGGTCTATTTGACTCAAAGGTCATGCTCTTTACTAGTGATCAATATTGCCTCCCACTAGAAAGGCAGGGAAGGTAAAGAATACCTTAGTAGGCATGAAACCAGAAAGGAAAATGCCAGCAGAGGCAGAGAACGAAGAAGATAAATGAGGCAGGCGGAGCAAGGTTCTAGTGGCAGTCGAAAGGAGTGGGAGAAGCAAAAGGATAAAGTTTGGAGAAGGTCACTTCCTAAGTGACACCTCTGAAGAGATGGAAAAATAGAAGAAAATATTGAGCTTAAACTGAAAGGGCGCTTACCATAGGCCCTAAAGGTTAGTCAAATAGGAAGGTGAGACTACTGTCTGAGAAAGTCTAGAAAGTAGATAAGAATAAAAGCACTGGTGAAGAACAGAAGAAGTCACACTGTTGTCAGACAGCATCGATTTACAAAGGGCCAAATCAGCACAGCTTCATAACTTACACCAACATTACAATACATATCATCTATGCTTCTGATCGGCAGGACACTGTGCCGGGCGATGCGCCTATCAAATGGAGCCTCCAGAAAGAAAACGTAAATCATGGATGTAGTCCAGAGATGCTAGCCTGTATAGTTGGTAGGCAGGTAGGAAAGGTCAAGGACCTAACAAAATTTCAGATGGTAGAAAAGTAGCAGGACTTGGTGTCAAGAGACCCTAAGACAAACAAGGAAATCTGGTTGGAGTTAAAAACTTAAACCAAGTAGAAGGAATAAAAGCTCAATGATGAAAAGTAAATATGTTTGGGGACAGGGATTTGTCTGTGTGTGTGTGTATTAAGAGATACAGTATTCCCATATTTAAACCCTGCAAAGGCTTCATTGCAGATGTAATAAAATCCAAATCCTTACCCTTGCTTATAACGCCTGCAAGATCTAGCCTTTGTTCACTTTGAAGGTGTCTCTACCATCCAACTCTACTACCATGTTCCAGGCACAACAACTAGCTGTCTGTGCCTTAATCATGCCAACCTTATTCGTTAAGGCCTATGCAGTAGTTATTACTCTACCTGAAATGTTCTTCCCTCTGATCTTGAATGGCTGGTCACTCAGCTTTCCCTGACAGGCAGACTACAATTCAGGATGTATATCTGGTTATATCTCCTAGATAGATATTTAGTGCAAAAATTGCAGACAAAGTTAGTGTGTCCTTGCATCATCGCGAAAATAACTTTGGGGCCACAGTCAGCAATTTACCTATGATAGAGCACACGTCACACAGGGTCATAGGGTTGCTATGAGTCAGAAATGACTCGAGGGCAATGGGCTTGGTTTTTTTGTTTGTTTAAAACACACCTAAAATTATTTTCTAATGAAAATCCTGGCCTTGCTCACAAATAACTCTCTTTCATGGGATTTCCTTCTAAATAGGCCCATATTTTTATTAATTTGTAACTTTCATAAAAAGATGTCAGTCTTACTCCTAACTCAGCTATCAAAGCATATTGTTCTTCACTTAGCCAGCAGCATAATACATGGATGACGAGACTTTGTCTCACATACTTTGGACATATTATCAGGAAAGACCAGTCTTTGGAGAAGGACGTCATGTTTGGTAAAGTAGAGGGTCAGCGAAAAAGAGGAAGACCCCCAATGAGACCGACTGACACAGTGGCTGCAACAATGGGCTCAAGCTTAACAACGATTATGAGGATGGTGCAGGATTGGGCAGTGTTTTGTTCTGTTGTACAGAGGGTCCTTATGAGTCAGAAGCGACTCAACGGCACCTAACAACAACATATATACATATTATTATTCTCACAATTGAGCCTTAGCTAAAATTGCTACCTTTTTTTAAAGCAATTAACATATACAAAGCACAATGCTGTGATTTCTACCAGCTATTGTCATTTAACCCTCATAACACTATGACTTAAGATATCCCCATTTTAAAAACGTAAGTACCTTGTGTCATGACACATAGCTCTAATCAGTATAAATAAAAATATTTATGAAATATTTTATGCAGACTGTTCAGTTCATTTTATCTGCAATATACTGTAAATTGTATTATTAGATTAAGACAGATGGTCAGAAAACTGAGTATTTAGACTGCATTATTTAAGATCCCCAGGGAATTGAATTTACTCCGTTGGGCTTATTTTGAAGGATGTTATAAGAAGTAGCTCTAGGGAATTTGTTTCTCATACTGCAAGGCAGCTTTTTAAGACAACTACTCACTACAGTATATAGTGTCCTCTTAACTTACCCTCTAATCTCAGTATCAAGTGAACTCTTGTTATATTATATATATTGTGAATCCAGCCAGTGTTCATATTTCCCTTTGTGTTGACTGCTGGACAGCTCTATCGCTAAATTTGCGGTTTATCTCTAGAAGCATGATTTATTTTGCAGATCAGTCTCACCATTGCCTTCGTATTTATCTTTTCCTTATTTTTCCATGGCCAAATTTCCTTACTTAAAATTTTATTCTCCTATTGTTCACGTATTTTTATAAGTCTCCATCAGTCTATCTGGGAACAAGCTGCAGTATAAGTAACTTCATTCCATCTTTTAGCTTTATGCTGCCAGCATGAATCTTTCACTGTGTGTGTGATAAAAAATGGCCAATCATCTCACATCACTTCTTACACTTCATTAATTTATAAAATGATTTATGACCTCTGCCATATAACTTAGGGTAGACACCACCAGGGCACAGTCTTCAAGAGAAAGTAGCAGTGCCATTAAGTTATAAAATCTCTTAACGTTAGACACTTATTCATAGAAAAGTGTACACATTATTTATTGAGGTCTGAAGTATGACTGAATACAAAAGTTTGAATAAAATGTAGACTCGTACAGCACCTAGAATAAAATCCACTCTGATGACTGACAGCATCTTCTTAGTTTATACACTTACTGAAGTAATTCACTACATTAGGTCTTCTAATAAATAACAATTTAACAGTTGTTGTGTCAAGAATGTTTTTTCTCCCAGATTTAATAATGTGTACTCTAGAATATTTTTTAAACTTTAAATCCCTTATTTCTTAGCCTAAATATAATTTGAAGTTTCATTTGCCTTACATATAATTTATTTATGTATATTGTCTAAGGGAAAAATGATTATAGATACAGACACAAGATAATTTTAAGTGAAGATAAAATTATGGTGCTGAACAAAAAATTAAAAAAAAAAAAGAACATGTAGTCTAATTGTATTTGAGATTAATTTATGCTTGAGTTAGCTATATTTATGTTTCACCAAGCTGGTAAAGGTAGAAAAAAGTCTTTATCAACATTGTTAATACACAGATAAACGCAAACAACTAGTAACTAAGAGTGACATAAAAAAAGACTGAATAAAGCATAATGGAGATTTCACATACATGCTTGTTGGAAACCCACAAAGTAGGTAACAGGGAACCTCTTTGCTTAATGATAAAGATGGGAAGAATTTTAATTTTCTGTATAACATAAACTTTAAATATTTTAATATTTTCATTGAGTTTTAAATACTGTTTGGAAAAGGAAGAAAAAAAGTACAACTGAGGATTACAAATAACCAAGAGAGATGAATCAAGAAGGAGCACTAGCAGAGATTTTTATCATGAGTATTAGGGTTATACAATTTCCAAGAATTTCAAAATGTTTGGTGATCCTATTAATGTGTGTCCTGAAATAACACCTAAGTGAATCATCTTCTAATTCTCCAACTAGGTGATTTTTTTTACTGTAAAAGACATTTAATATTGTTTAGCTTCTTTTATGACTTAATTTACGATACATACTAGACATACATACCTAGTATTTCAATCTTTCTGCAGTGATTTAAAATTTTTTTTCAAGATAAGAATAAAAAACACAAACTATCTTTGAATTTTTGAAAAATTAATTTTTCAGATTTAACTTCAATGAAAGTGTCGAAAACAGATTCCTCCCAAAGACTTCTGGGAAAGATCCTTCAGATTTATCAGCATTATATAACATTACCTTTTAATGCAAGTACAGTAACATGAATTTATACAATTTGCTAGTTTAAGTAAATACAGTGATAAATGTTTTAAAATAAATCTCTAGTAAACTTACATCTTTCAGGAGCTTGGTCAATGTGTTCTGGACAAAGAAGGAAGAAGTGACTGAAGTCCTGAAAGGTGCCAGCTCCAGCAGCACAAGGGTAATGGTACATCTGGGTACATTTCTCTTCACAGCATTTGATAGTGGCTCCAAGGTGCTTACAAAATGCACATCGCTGGAAGGGAGGAAAGGGGAAAGAATCTCTTTTAGAAACCCTGAAGAGAAACATTTCAGTGTACAATTAGAAAGGTAGAAAGTCTACATATATTACAACAATTTGAACTTTCAAAATACTAAACAGATGACCAATCAAAAATAACAAAAGCTAAGGTACTTAGTTTAGTGCTTGGGATACTGCAGACTCATCTTTCTATTCAGATTTAGAACATTAACGTATTCACTTTTTTTTAATACTGACTTTGTAAAAAACCTACAACTAAAGATTTTTAAAAACACAACTATTAATATAGCTTAAGGGGAAGGTTTCTGAGAGTTTAACAGCTTTAAAATTCTACCAATAAACACATAAAACCAATATATACTATTTATAAGATCTATTACTATGTGTGACTGACTAAAAATCAATATGAAGTAACCTACTCAATCACAGAATATATTAATGAGGGATAGCCATATGGTTAAAGGCACACACACAAATGCACAACTTCCTTGTAGCTATTAGTTTCAAATTTCTTTATAAAAGCTGACAATATGAAGAAAAACTAAATCATCTGAGTATCTCTTTTTTTAAATTTCAGCCTGCTGGTGCAAGTCAAATGAGTCCCAAACAAACAACAGGAGACATCTAGGGCAAGTGAATGTGTTATAAGTCAGAACGAATTATCTAAACCACTATATACTGACTCCTCACTTTTCGAGATGGCTAGGATCCAAAGACCAGGTCATTATGGGAAAATCAGCCTTATGCAAAAACGGAGTCTCTTTTTTTGTTTTCAGACCATCCATTTGTCTGACTTTTTGTATTTAGAAAATATGATCACTGAAATAATAACAGCTAAGATTTACTGATCTGCTTAGCACTGTGACGAGTCCTGTTATGGATTTTTTGTCTATGGAGGAGGCTTAGAGGAGACAAAGCTGGATAAAGCCAGGCTGTGTGACTGGAGGGTCCAGGTCTTAACCACTTCAGAGTGTCCCTTGAGGAGCTGCCTCTAGGGCTTCACTGCTGCCCCGGCAAGCCCAGCGTTCACAATTCCAGAGCCTGCTCTGCCCTCCAGGCCTGGCAAATCACTGAGGATCCAGACTTGGGCTTCCTGCGAGGGCACTGGGAGCCTGGCCAGGCATCCAGCTCCACCAAGGCAGAGGCTTCAGGCCCAGTTTGGCTCACTTGGGGATGTCATTAAACTCACACACATTTCTTCCAAACACCCTCTCCAATGCCTCTTTCTTTCCTCCCCACCCCACAGCAATCTTGAGCTGCAGGGCCTCGGGCCACATAAGAGCTGGGAACCCAGAATAGGCACCTCCTTGGCTCAGTGCTGCTTATGAGTCCATCCCGAGGCCGTGGCCACAGAGGAGGCTGGCGATGGTGCCCACGCCGGCAGGTGGGAACAGAGAGCACGGGGCAACACGGCCTGGTTTCCCGGAGGCTGCCCGGAGGAGACCCTCCTTGAGGGAGGGGGCGCTCCTCAACCATGGCCACCATGCCTGTCGCCTCATTAATGCACAAAATAGGTGGATAGTAGATTTTTTTTTAAATATTGTCATAAATGCAAAATGTCAGGTAACGAGATAGTCGATAAATGAGGAGTAGGTGTATTTACTCTACTTTCCCTCTTTCTCATCCTTCTAACCTACTTGGGGGTATACTTTTTTCTTTGTGAAGACCTTACTGAACAACCCTCCACTACACAGTATTAAATCTCTATTTCTGTAGGAGCTACCTAAGCGTATATATTGCATAAACTTCTACTTTAGCATTTATGCCATTGCATGGTAATTATTTATTTGTCTTCCATTCATCCTAGTCTGAGATTGTGAATAGAGGCACGAGAAATGTACAATTTTTGTATCCCTACCACCACAGATGCTGCTTGACATAGACAGGCCCCAATAAACAGGAGTTTGTATTTATATATATTAAACTGACACTTCTGACAATCTTGTTTGTAAGTGGGGCTTATAAATACCATAGCTGAAACAACTGAAGCCACAAGAGACATGTATGGTAAAACAAATTCAAATGTAATATAGAGAGTTGGACTCTGCTAACATAACTCTGAATATCTTCAAATGCTAATACACTTGATTCTATATTGTGCTATCAGAGTTATTTTCAACTCTGTATGTATACATTGACATATCACGTTATCATCAAACTTTTCCTCATTACCATCAGTTCACTGCATCGAACCAATATAAGAAAGCTTACTCTTATGTATCTTTGAGTGCACACAAGACCACTAAGTAACTCACAGACATTAATTATGTTTATAACAGTACTTTTATGTAATATCCATAAGTCCAAAGACTAAAAAAAATTTCAGCTGAGGGAGTTACAGCATTAAAAAGACAGAAAAACAAAAAAACAAAAACCCATTGCCTCCGAGTCTATTCTGACTCATAGTGACCCTACAGGACAAAGTAGAACTGCCCTACAGGGTTTCCAAGGCTGTAATCTTTACAGAAGCAGACTGCCACATCTTTCTCCCATTGAACAGTTGGTGAGTGTGAACCACCAACCTTTCAGCTAGCAGCTGAGTGCTTTAACCACTGTAAAACTAGGACACCTTAAAAAGACAAAGAAAAGAAATAAAGCATCACTTCTCTTCATTAATAAAGAGTAATGATCTTAAATAAAAGGTATGTTTTTCAAAAGGGAATATATTTTTATATTGTATCCTCATAAGGTATCTAAGATATGTTAAGTATATTAAAAGATCCCAGAATTAATAAAATGTATAGCATCTGGGTAGTCTGAATATCCTAGTGTCATACTGGAAAGGCCAAGAAAATATAGAGGGAAGAAAATGTATTTATATGTCATATCAATATGCTGAAAATTTTTATAATAACTCTAATATAAAGTGGTAACTTTGATGAAGGGTAAGACAGTACACAATACTGGGGAAGCTAGCACAACTTGTACAAGGCAACGTCACGGAAGCTCCACAGACACATCCAAAGTCCATGAAGGACCGAATTGCTGGCTGAGGGAGCAAGGGAGAATGAAGAAAACAAGACACAAAGGAAAGATCAGTCCACAGGAGTAATGGACCAAAACTACCACGGCCCCCACCAGACTGAGTCCAATACTACTAGATGGTGCCCGGCTACCACCACTGACTGCTCTGACAAGGATCACAACAGAGGGTCTTGGACGGAGCTGGAAAAAAATGTAGAACAAAATTCTAACTCACAAAAGAAGACCAGACTTACTGGCCTGACAGAGACTGGAGAAACCCCGAGAGTATGGCCCCCGGACACCCTTTTAGCTCAGTAATGAAGTCACTCCCAAGGTTCACCCTTCAGCCAAAGATTAGACAGGCCCTTAAGACAAAATGAGACTAAAGGGGCACAACAGCCTAGGAACAAGGACTAGAAGGGATGAGGGGACAGGAAAGCTGATAATAGGGAAACCAACGTTGAGAAGGGAGAGTGTTGACATGTTGTGGGGTTGTTAACCAATGTTATAAAACAATGTGTACTGTTTAATGAGAAACTATTTGTTCTGTAAACCTTCATCTAAAGTACAATTAAAAAATCAATTAATTAATTAATTTAAAAAAAAAAAAAAAACTCTAACATAAAATAATCTCTCCTAAATTGTTAAAATCTAGGAGCTCCGTTATTTTGATAGCATATGACAAGTTGTGCAGCAGTCTTTTAATTTATAATTTTGGCAAACAAAATATGCAACTTTTATTTAAGTGCATACTAATAAAATGAAATAATTTTAAATGATCCTTTTCCCAATGTCTATGTCATTTTATGAAGCCCTGGTGGCATAGTGGTAAAGAGCTCGGCTGCTAACCAAAAGGCTGGCATTTCAAATCCACCAGCCACTCATTGGAAACCATATGGGGCAGTTCTGATCTGTCCTACAGGGTCGCTATGAGCTGGAACCGACTCAACAGCACCTAACAACAACATGTCATTTTAGAAACATTGATATGTTCTTTTCATCATATTTGCAATGGAAAAAATTACATGACATTTGCTAAACTACTATCCAACACACTAATTTACAATATCATATACAGATATCAGGGAATAAACGAAGGGAAATAAAACAATAACTGCATTTAAGTGAACCCTTCAAATCCATCTTTTACCATTACATACCATTAATGAAAGGCATTTGGCATTGAAAGAAAATGTATACTTTATATACAGTTTGGTATGTATCTTCTGAACCAAATACAAAGCATCTGTAAAATTATAGAAAATACCAAATAATAAATTTCCACTATCATCTACTACATATCAGAAATCAAATTATAAACTAAGTAATAATTACAAAGCTGACAAACACTTGTGGAGGGGAAGGTAAAATAAATAGCTCTTAAATAGTGTATCAATGAAATGATTTATTTGAAGCAGTATTTAACATTCCTAGATAGCATTTTATTTTTTTCTACTTTTTAAAAATTTTATCATTAAAGAAGAGAGAGAGAGACAGAGACAGTAAAAGTGTCTCATCTTTTGGTATTACACTGACAACACATTTGAAAAAAACAAGAAAAAACAAGAACTCTCAATGAGAGCTCACATCACCAAATGTAAGAATGGGTCTGAGGAACTTCTAAAACGTATATTTACTAGATTCTGAAATAAATGATCTTTCAAGATAAATCTATAATACAAAGCAAAACAGAATCAACAAAATTTCAGAGGTTAAAGCTGTGCTATGAAAACAATAACAGGAAGCTCGTGGATATTTCAAAACTCATTCAATTAAATATCAAGTATTCTGTATCAACCCATGGCAATTATTGTAGGCTAGGTGCTCTAAGAAATATCAAGTAGTATTCGGTGTACCATCCTCCAAATTGTTTTCTAAATTCACCAGATTTTTCTTCCTATTAGTCAGCTGGAATTTGTCTAGAATGCAGTATTAAAGATCAAAAATGGAAAAAGAAAAAAGTAAGATGACACAGGAAAGTGATCCAGGAGGTCCAATATCTGTTGAAAAGGAGTACCAGAAGGAGAGAA